CATGTTGTTCTTCCCATTTAATTTAATATTGATTTAAACTGTTGTAGTTACTATGTATATTGTTTTCTTGGATCTGTTTACTTCACTTCACATCAGTTCATATAGATTTTTCCAAGCTTCTTTGGATTCATCACACATCATTTCTTGCAGCACGGTAGTATTCCATTCTGTTCATATACCACAATTTGTTTAGCCATTCCCCCATTGATTGGCACCAGCTTTGTTTCTAATTCTTAGCTATAAAAAGTGCTACTATAAATATTTTGGAGTATATGGGGACTTTTTTCTTATCAATGGCTTCCCTGGGGTTCAAGCCCATTAATGGAGTCTGTGGTTCAAAGGATTCAAGGATTTATTTGCATAATTCCAAATTGCTTTCCCAAATGGTTGTACCATTTTTTTCTTTTTTTTTTTCTTAAATTTTTTTTTAAAATTTTTCTAGGCAATTGGGGTTAAGTGACTTGTCCAGGGTCACACAGCTAGTAAGTGTCAAGTGTTTGGTCTGAGGCCGGATTTGAACTCGGGTCCTCCTGACCTCAGGGCCGGTGTTCTATCCACTGCGCCACCTCGCTGCCCTGTGGTTGTACCATTTCACAGATCCACCAACAATGTGTGTGTGCCTATCTTTCCACCACTCCTCCAACATTGACTTGCCACTTTTCTGTCATTTTTTTTCCAGTTTATAGGGTATAAGGCAGGCCTGCACAACCTGCAGTCCACCAAAGGATTTTGGGCAGCCCACGAAAAATGTAGAGGAAAACATCCATTGTATGTAGTGGAAATCTTTTGGCAGGTTGTGCAGGTTGGTAGAAGGTAAAATCTCAAGATTGTTTTAAGTTGCGTTTCTCTTATTATTAGTGATTTATAGCATTTTTTTTCCATGTAGTTGTGAATGCTTTGTAGTTCTTTTGAGAACTGTTTGTTCACATCCTTTAACCATTTATCTATTGGGTAATGGCTACAATAACCTTTTGATGGGTCCCCCTGCCTCAAGTCTCTTCCCATTCTAGTCTATCCTCCACTCAGTTGTCAGAGTGATTTTCTTAAAGCATAGATCTGACCATCTCTCTCTCCCTCTCTCTCCTTCTCTTTTCTTCTCTCTCTCTCTCTCACACACACACACACACACACACACACACACACACACACATGCACACACGCACACATGCACATACATATACACACAGACACCCCACTCAGTAAATTCCAGTGGCTAATCTCAAGGATAAAATATAAAATAACCTAGTATTCAAAACCCCTCCATCCACCTACCTTTCTGATCTTCTTATCCCCCACTTACTCTGTGATTCAGTGACACTGATCTTTTTGCTTTTCCTTGAACAAGATAGTCTGTCTTCTGACCCTGGGCAGGAGGACCTGAGTTCAATTTGTTGGATTTGTTGTGGCCTGCTGGGGGTGCTGCCCAATGTGTATGGATGGGACATTGAAGCTTGGTGCTAATGCCAGCTAATCAGCCAGCCATCCAGTGATTTGTATAGCTTCAGAGGATGTGGTTGTTAAGTAGGATGCTATGTAGTATGGTTGGGGCTGCTCTGACCAAGATGGGAATCCCCTTACCAGAATAGCTAATATTTGTCTAGCCCTGTTAGGTTCACAAATTACTGTGTGTGCGTGATTTAATTTGGTCCTCACAATTACCCTGTGTGGTAGGTTCTACGGGTGATATTTTATCCTTATTTTATGGATGAAGAAAGCAATTCTACTAAAGTTAGATGACTTGCTTAGAGGCCCATCACTAGTAATTGTTAGGGACAAGATTAGAATCTGGGTTTTCCTAACTGCAAGTCCAGTGATTTTCTTACTATACTGTGTGGCCTTCTTATTAGAATCCAGGGCAGCAGACTGAATTGAGTTGGGCTGAGCTCTGGGCTGGGTTCTTGATTAGGCTAAGACTCAGGGCTGTGCTGAACTGAGGGGGTGATGACTGAACTTAGGCTTACATTCACTTGTGGGGCTGACGTGAATTGGTCTTATTTCTGTCTGAATTGAGGTGGTCTCTGGTCTGGGCTTGGGGCTCCATTGAGTTGACAATTGAAGTAGGTCCTAAGTCTGGCAGAACTTGAATGTCTGTGGAGGAACAAAGTACTTCTCTTCTTATCCCAAAGCCCTCACTGAGCAACCCCAACTGCACTGAGGAGATAGGTTTGGGTGACTCCATTTCTTTCTTGGAGGATGTGGAAGACAGCAGCTCTATGATGGAAGAGGCAAGCTCCCAGAAGAAATAAGTGGATGGATGAGATTAAGGGCACACGTAGAAGGGCTGGCCCTGGCAAGGAGAAGGGCCCCCTCTTCCTCAGATAAGGGAGCAAAAGAGGCAGACGATGTCGAGGGGCTTTGAGGTGTGGCGTATGGGGAAGTGGGAGCTCGTGGCAGAAGACCTCTGTGTTCTCAGTAAAATAAGATAGTAAGTCATCTGCTCAGAGGGAGGCAAAGATGTTTGGTATAAGAGATTTGAGTAGAGAAGACAGGAAATGTGATAGAGATTCTGAAGAATAAAAGCTCTGTTGTATGTCTGGCAGTAAAGTAGTTAACACATTAATGGTAGCTTTTCCCAGCAGGATTCAGCGTCATACAGGTGTGAACAGAGATGGTGGATGGTGGATGGTGGCAGTAAATCAGGGGTGGCATTTGGAAAGGCCTGATTATAAGACAAGGGAAGAAGGAAGCCGATCTTTAGAGAAACAACCTTGAGTCAGGAAGAGTTGTGTTCAGGTTCTGCCTGTGACACCTACTGGTTTTATGGCACTAGGTAAATTGCTCAATTGCTCAGTGCTCTTGGTAACTCTTGAGGACTTGAAATTGATGAACTGCCTTGGCAGAGGGAGTTCCTATAGCAATGAAATCACAGGTCTAGAAAAAGAAAGAAAGAGAAAGAAAGAAAGGAAGGAAGAAAGGAAGGAGAAGAAAAGAAAAAGGAAAAAAAGCCAACTGAATTATAAGGATTAGGTGAGAAAGAAGTGAGAGCCTGCTAGCCCTAGGAGGGGGATGCCCACCTGATTTCAGAGTTCTGTGATGATGGAGGATGGCATCAGTTTGTTCAGTCTCGAGATGCCAGCAAAGAAAGGGTTGTGTTAGTATGGAGAGCGAATCAGTAAATACATGGGATTGGGGTCCCCAGGGCCAGACTAGATTCATATACAATGCCAGCTCCATATCTCAATCAGTCAATAATTTAATTAGTTAACAAGCATTTATTAACTGCTTTCTATTTGCCAGACATAGTGTGAAGAACTAGATAGATTCAGAGATAGAAATTAAATTAAATTACAAGTCTCTGCTTGTAAGGAATTTATATTCTATCAAGGGAGAGAACACATATACATAAAAATATATATACAAAATAGCTATGAAGTAGATCCAAGGTCATTTGAGAGTTGGAAGAAATTGGAATAGGAGGTAGGGGAGGAAAGGTTTCATGTAGGAGGTGATGTTTGAGCTGACCTTTGATGGAAAGTAGTTATTCTAAGATTTGGAGGTGAGGAGAGAGTGCGTTCCAGGGTGGAGAGCAGTCAGCTTTTGCAAAAGCATGAAAGCATGAAATTGGATATCATGCATTAGGAGTAGCAGGTCAATTTGGCTGGATCATAGAGTGTGTAAAGGAGAGATGTGCATCTGGCTTACAAAAGGCTTTAAATGTTAAGCAGAGGAGTTTGAATATAATTGTTGAGCTGACAAACACAAGAGTTGATTGAGTAGGAGAGTGACATGATGGGGCCTGTGCTTTAGGAAGATCGCTCCCAGATGTATAGAGTATGAGCTGGCTAGGGGAGACGCTTGAGATCAGATGAACAAGGCCAGGTGAGAGACCGGAAAGGCCTGAGCCAAGGTGATTATGGTGAGAATATAGAGAAGGGGACAAAAGGGAGAGACCTTGTGGAGGTGCAATTGGTTGAGTGATTAGACCCAAAGGAGAGTAATTCTTTGATGCCATCCTAGAGCAGTGGTTCTTAATCTGGGGTCTGTGAACTTAAAAAAAAGAGTAGTTTGACAACTGCATTTCAGAATAATTGTTTTCCTTTGTAATTCTTTGATATGTCTACCAGGAAAGACACATGAAATGGAAATAATCAGGAACTTTGTTAATATTATAATAAATAATAATAGCTCATATTATGTATCACAAAACCCTTTACATATGTTATCCCATTGAGCATTCATATTGAACAAAGACATTTGTATTTTATTTTATTCATCAAATACATTATTCCGAGAAGGGGTCCATAGGCCTCCCCAGGCTGCCAAAGGGATTCAGGACAGAAGGTTAAGAAGCCCCACCCTGGAGGGAGGTTTCTGGTGGAGTGTCCCAGGGACTTTCCTTGGGCCTGTGCTGTTTATTAACCTTTTTGTAAGTGATTTAGATAAGAGCACAGATGATATACTCATCAACTCTTTGAATAACACAGAGCTGGGAGGGGGCACTATAACATGTTGGGGAATAGAGTCAATATTTCAAAAGATCTCCCAGGCTGGAATGATGGGCTGGCTCTAATAAGATGAAATTTAACAGGGATCGCTGGATTAAACGAAACTTCAGAGGTACAGGATGGGGGAAGTGTGATTGGAACAGAATTTATACCCAAAAAGCACCTGGGGTTTTAGTGGGCTGCAAGGTCAGTGAACTCAGAGTGTGATATGGCTGCCCACAGCAGGTCGCTTTCTTAGGTGATAACAGAGGACTGGTATCTAGAACCAGGGAGATGATTGCCCCACTGTACTCTGCACTAAATAGATACATCCTGCACTGTTGTGTCTTGTTCTAGTGATTTATTTTCTGAAGGTCATTGGCAAATGGGATACATCCCAAGAAGGGAACCAGAATGGTTAGGACTGAAGACTGGGCCATATAAAGACTGTTTGTAAACACACAAGGGGATGTTTAGCTTGGAGAAGACTTGAGGATGGGGTGGGGGACACAGATGGACATGATAGTTGTCTCCAAGTATTCGAAGAGAATTTAGACTTGTTCTTCTTACCTCCAGAGGGGCAGAGCTGGAAACAATGGGAAGAAATTGCAAAGAGATAGACTCCTTCCTTGATGTAAGAAACAACTTCCTAATAATTAAGAGCAGTCCGAAAGTGGAATGGGTGGCCTCAGGAGACCATGAGCTGTCCATCACTAGAGCTCTTCAGGTAGGTGTCTAAGACATCTTAGAGGGATTTTTTGTTGAAGATTTTTAAAAATAAATGACGCAGAGCTGCCAGTTGTTGGCTTATGGAACTCCCTGTGAACACATGCTCTCTACCAATACAGATCAACACTGACTCTGCAGCTTTGTGGCTCAACAAGTTCTTGTTGTTGTGGAAGTATGAGGCAGTGTTACATATTGAATTGAGTACTAGGCTTGGAGTTAGGAAAATATGAGTCAAAATCCTGCCTCTGATGCTTCTTAACTGTGTAAGGATGTGCAAATCATTTAATCTTTAGGTAACTTGCTGAGGACTTGCCTACGGAGGCAGAGGTGATTTTCAGTCCCCAACCTTTAGCTCCCCCAGGCTGATGACATCACAGATGCTTCTTGTATTTACAGATGGTTTGGATTAAATAACCTTTGAAGTTCCATCTACCTTTGAGAGCCTGGGATACTGACTCCAGTAATCCCTCTTCTTGGACACTCAGAACCCAGCTATCATGTCAACACTAGATCTTTCTTCTCCAGACTAAGCATCCTTAGTCCCTTCATCTGATCCCAGCTGTCCTTTCTTAGATGCTCTCCAACTTGCTAATGTCACTTTTAAAATGTGGTACTCCCTACTGTGATCTTCAAGGCATAACTGAAGTGGAATACCTTAAGACCTTGGGTTGTAGCAACATAAATGACCAGGAAGCGGCCTGCCTTGGGTTCCCCAGGTGCTTGTCTCATGTTTCCCCAAGGCCTGTGGCTCCATTACTGTGAGGATGGTGTTCTGCTGATCAGTTTCCTTAAAGCCCCCTTCATGTCCCTATTTCTCAGGCTGTAGATGAAGGGATTCAGCATGGGTATGACCACTGCACACATCACAGCAGCTGCCTTGTCCTTCTCCGGGGAAGTGGGTCCTGAGGGCTGCAGGTACACCGCAAAAATGGTCCCATAAAACAGTAAGACCACAGTGAGGTGAGAACCACAGGTGGAGAAGGCTTTGCGTTTTCCCTCAGCGGAGGGGACCCGCAGAACAGCACGGAAAATGCAGATATAGGAGAGAAGAATGCACACCAGGGGACTTATGCCCATGAAGATGCCAAAGACTAAAACCACCAGCTCATTGATGTGGGTGTCAGAGCAGGAGAGCTTCAGCAGGGGCATGAGGTCACAAAAGAAGTGGGGGATTTTGTTGTCTGCGCAGAAGGTTAACTTTGCCATCAGGGAGGTGTGCACCACCGACTGAAGGTTGGTGATACCCCAAGGTCCCCCTACAAACAGGATGCAGAGCTGAGGGCTCATGATGGTCGCATAGCGCAGTGGGTGGCAGATGGCCACAAAACGGTCATAGGCCATCACGGCAAGGAGAAAGCTGTCCATAGTTCCAAACAGATGAAAAGAATACATTTGGATGAGGCAGCCAGCGTAGGGGATGGCCTTGCTGTGCGTCAGGATATTTATCAACATCTTAGGCGTTGTGGTGGATGCCTGACACAGATCCACGATGGACAGGTTGGAAAGGAAGAAGTACATGGGGGTGTGGAGGTGGGAGTCAGAATAAATGGCCAGAATGATGAGCAGGTTCCCAACTATGGTGACCGTGTACATGCTCAGGAAGAGTCCAAAGAGGGGCCACTGTTGCTCTGGTCTCTCCGAAAGTCCCAGAAGGAGGAATTCTGATACACTTGTGTGGTTGTCTTGTCCCATGTAGCTGACGTGTCTGCCAAGAAGGATACACAAAGTCGAAATGCAGGTACCCCTAAGGAATCAGAAACTTTGCTAATAATAGAATAGTGGTAATACTCATTTCTGTATTGTAAAGCATTTTATATCATTGGAAGTGGTCCACGCATTTATTAAGCACCTACTATTTATTCCCAGTGTGCAATCCTTCCACAAAAATAAATATGACAATAGACCATACCCTCAACGTGTGGCCTAATCTAATAGATGAGAAATAAATCAATATTACGCAAAGTAGCATAGAAGTCCAGCAAGAAGGGCTTTCTATCACCTTCTCAGCCTGAAATAGATTTCACACGTTATAATGGGAACAAAATTGAGTTTATGCTGAATTCCTCTCCAGGGAATTGGAAAGAGCTCTCATGATTTCATGCTTAGTTTTACAGATCCTCGTATCCTGCTGTGGATTTGGAAAAGGAAATTGGAATCTTGGAACACTCTCAGAATTGAGTAATTTAAGCCAGGTTGACATTGAGTTTGATAGATTAATTAAGCATGATTATTATCCATGCCACAGTTGACCTGCCTTTTGCATTGTAATTGATGGACAACAGTGACATTAAAACTGATCAATACCCTGTGCTGACTTTTGAATGCAAAACAGCAAAGAATGTGAAAATTGGGAGATAGATGCATGAAGTTTTTTTCCATGTAGATAATTTGGAGGTGTATTCAACTGGCCTATTATTGAACTCATGTCACTATGTGTTATTTGTTTGTAAGATTATTTTATGTTAATGCTGTATTTATAAATTTCCAGCATTATAATTTTGAAAAAGACTGTAAGACTGTGCTGTTAATTTTTTGGATTGATGCCTGTCATGTGATGCATATGTAGCCTTAAGGCATTGAATCCTGTTTGATGTGAGTACTATGATCGCTTTATAAGAACTATCACATAGTAGAAACATTAGTCTGAGGGACATGGTGCTCCCTCTATGATTGTATAAATTTGTGTGTGTAGTATATCACGAATTAATTTGTTTTTGGTAAGTAATACAAACGGCCTTGAGAAATAGAAAAAAAAAGGAAAAGTACAATTAAGTGTGAAACAAGTATTGACTGATCATGATCCCAAACCAGTGGCTTCGATTTCTGGTTCTCTAAAGGCAGGGAGAACAAATGTCACTTTCTAGCTGGTATCCTCATAGTACAGAAAAGGCAGTTGAAGTGGCTGAAAATCTTGCTGAATTTTAAGCCTAAAAACTGAAATCAGAAATGAATGGACGTTTGAAGGGCCTCTGTACATGATAATTAGAAAACTGTATTTGGGCCTTAAAACTTCAGATTGCCTTTCACGAAAGGCAAGATGGATTTTTATTAATTTGTAACCTGGATTTTAGCTTGTTTTTACAGATTATCAAAACACATTTAAATCCTGTCTTTTCCCTCCCCATGTGGGAATATGATACTTTGGCAAATTTGTATGCAAGTTATTAAAATTTTAAAATGGCAGATAATTAAAGATTTTGTCTGGTAGTGTGAGAAGGCGGTTCCAGTTGAAGAACTCAAGGAGACAGGGAAGTTCACGAGACCCAAGAATATTTGGAATGTTATTAACATGGCAAATTAGCTTCCTACACTGTATTTAAATAATGGATTTGGGGATGTTCCCTGTGGCATTTTTAGCCTTACTGAGTAAACTCTAATGCCTGTCATATATTACGCAACAGCTGTGAGCAAATTCCAATACCTGTTGGTATTAATGTTGATTTCAAGACAATTACATCTTGCTTTAACTGCAACCATTGACACTTATTGGGTGAGGTGGAATTTCTTGGGGCTGTCAAGTGATTTACATATTGCCCATGATCCCACTTTGATCCTGATCAAAGCGTTTGTTGACAAATCAAACTATTTCCCATGCAAAGGGAAAATGTCAGTGGCTGCCAACTGGTGAGTGCTAAATAGCATATCCCTAAACCAGCAGCAGGTGAATGAAGATCATGAGGAAGGTCAAGGTGACCGTCTTGCAAACACAATGACAGAGTCTCCCAGATTCCTTTCCTTTGGTAGGAATGGATGATTTTTTTACCTGTCTGTCAATAGGGCTAACTGTTATAGCCCTTGAATAGGGTGAAGTTAGGAGAGGGAGAGGGACAGGGGAAGGGAGGGGGGAGCCTATGAATCCACTGGCATGGGGAACACTAATGCAGGTTGTCACCTTCTCTACAACCTAAAGAGTTGCCATGAGGTTAAATGACTTGCCCAGGGTCACACAGCCAGGATGTGTCAGAAGTGGGACTTAAGCCCAGGCTTTGGTGGGAGCAGAGAGAGACAAGGCAATGAGCATTTATGTAGCACCTACTATGTGCTAGGCACATAGTAGCTAAGTGCCTTTTACAAATATTATCTCATTTGATAATATATTTTTGAGGCCCCTCTCTGCCTACTGAGCTACAATGTATAAATCAGAGTTCAGGGATTCTTTTTTTTTTTTTTTGTGAGGCAGTTGGGGTTAAGTGACTTAACCCAGGGTCACACAGCTAGCAAGTGTCATGTATCTGAGACTGGATTTGAACTCAGGTCCTTCTGACTGCAAGGCCAGAGCTCTATCCACTGCACCAAGAGTTAAGGGATTTTTGTCTCTAGATACCTAAGTGAAGTTCCTCTGTGTCTTTTAGACCAAGAGGTGATAGAGCATTTTAATGAACAACAACTTACATTTTGTCCCTCTTAAGGATGATTAAGTTTTATGACCTTATGCATCCCTGATGCTATAAATGATACTAATAAAGGGACAGGGGGTGGTCCCTGTCAGCCCCATTGTCACTTACCTAATGAGATGAGTATGGAATAGCTCTTTCTGCACCTATGCCCACACCTTTGTCTCTTCCCCTCCCTAAGGACCAACTGCCTCTTTTAAGTGACTTTTGAGGATGTTACTCTTCTTTAAGATCAAGGCCCCAGAAACTGGGGTGGAGGGAGAGGGTAAACCTTGGAGCATGGCAGAATATCTTTCATACCCTGAGCCTGTATAGTATGGGGTTGTGCTCATATTCCTTGCTCCTGTAATCCACAGTATGGCAAATGGCACTCGTGTACAAAGAGCCCAAAGTAGGGAGATGGCCGCAATGATCTAAAAGAGATGAATCTGTCCCTCCTTTATGCTCCTTTGTACAGCAATATAGCAGTACTTACTCAACCTGCTTGTCTCATAACACTGGCCAGCAGGTAAGGACCACCCCTGCTGCCCACCCCTTACCTTGGGGACCCTTTGTAAGCTAAGTGTTATTCCTGTAAGAGCGTTCTCATTATTGACATGTACCCTGGACAGGTGGGAACCACCCTTGTGTTCACAGAGACCTATCACTGTTACTAAAAAACACTCTTTAATATTCCCAGACTTGGATTACCCCTTACACTAGACAATGATAGACTCACATTTTACATTAATAGTAATTAGCATTTATGTAGTTCTTCAGGGTTTGTAAAGTATTTGACAAACTGTGTCTCATTTGATCCTCACAATAATCTTGGGAGGTAAGTATTATTATTATTTCCATTTTTCTGATGAGGAAACTGAGGCAGGCAGAGGTTAAGTGACTTGCCTAGGGTGAAACAGCTAGTAAGCATCTCAGGCCAGATTTGAATGGAGGTCTTCCTGACTCCAGGTCTAACCACTGCACCTATACATATGTATAGCTTTTAAAATACAGCAACACCTGGCCTACCACTACTACCTGGAATTGACATAGAACACAAAAAATTCTGTTATAAAAACATGTGTAGCCCAAGTTGGCAGGAAACTGCCCCAAGTGGCCTAATGTTTCTCATATAGCTCTCAGGCACATTAGGAACACTGTGAACAGAGAGCATAACCTAACACTGTGTAAGATTCTCATGGCATACCCTCTCTAAATGCCAGCTAGGCTTCTAGTCTCTCCATACCAAACAGATCTCTAATAATAGATGAGATTCTTCTGTCTCACTGTAAATGCTAATGAAATCTGGTAGATCTCTTTAGCAAGAGCTATCAGACGTCTTGCCCTGATTGCTTGATTCCCTCTGCCTCAACCTCTGGCCAGGAGAACGAGTCTATGCAAAGGCCAGCAGTATGGAAATGCCCTTTACCCCTCACTGGAAGGATCCCCTCCAGGTCCTACTGACCAGCAGCACCACTGCCTGCTGTCAGGAGCCTGAGGACTCATATATTACACTTTGGATCTGGACACTTTCAGGGAAGGTCCCTCTTGGGACCAAGAAAAAAGAACCCCAGAACAAACCCACCACTTGCCTCTCCTCCCTCCCACTCTCAGCCTCTGACCTGATTAGAGAATACATGTGCACGGTGGGGAGAGCAGGAGACTTCCATTATCACTGACTGCGCTATTGCCCTTCACCAAAGTATTCTCAGCGATCTCCAGACTAAACCCAGACTGATGTGTGATCCTCCCTGGCTTTTGGGAACTCTGTATTTACTTGTACAGCATTAAACTCAACCTGTCAATTTGTTTTCTCTTTTTATGCTGCTCTGTTTATTTCATTACCTAATCTATAGTCACTTCTAAGGGATGGATGGGTAGCATTTTCTTGAACCTGATCCAGGGGTATACCTCTGTAGTGAACCTCATGTCTTGTTGGGTGTGCTTGCGTACACCAGCCACCATGGCAAAGAGCTCCTATTGATTAAAATGCTGCCAGACGTCCAGCTCTTCCAGGTGGCCAACAGTGCTTCTCATTTCATGGATGTGGGCTGTGCACGTCCTGGTGACCCCTGGAGTCTTACACGATTCATCTCTTTTCCATTTACCTGACCACTATGCTGCAGTTGGATGTGTGGACTTTTCCTCCCAGATCACTATGATACCCTGGTTTCTAGCAAACACCCCTGTTCAAGAGAGCTCATTAACATGCCTTGGTGACTATTCTGGAGTGTAACTTCACTTTAATTCCCATTTCCTCCCTGGCAGTCTATGACATGCTCAGTTCATCCCTCTTACATTGCTTTGCAGTACACTTTGGGAACATGACACACTGTAAAGGCAAAATTGCTCGGGGAGAAGTCGCACCCTAACTGCACACATCTTTCCTCTCACCAAGCTCACCTTCCTTCAGTCCAACTTTTCTGCTTTCCTCCCCGATCCTCCTCTTCAGCCTTTCCCTGTTAGCCTGGCTTAATGCTACCCTCTTACAATCTATTCCATTTGGTCAAAGAGCATTTTCTTTTTTTTTTTGGATTGTATATGAAGAGCACGTAAGCGTCAGTCTGGGACTTCCCTGGTACCTGAACGGTAAGCAATATCTCTCCTCACTTATCCCTTCACACGACCTTTCATTCTTCCCATATAACATCACACACAAAGCACTCGTAACCACCAGTAGCATCACCTTCCACCAACTCGAGTGCTGATAACACCCCTTGGGGTTAGTGAACATGAAAAGCTTAATCTCTCCAACCCCCTGTGAAGTGCTAATGGCGCCATCAGCCCTGCTAGGACCCAGACTGAAACATCATTGCCTTAGCAGCTCTTTGGCAACTTTCTTTTGCTTTACAAGGTGGAGTCTGTTCTCTCATCAATGCCTCCTGCTGTCTGGAATTATAGAAACTGCTTCTCTACACTATCCAGGGCCTTCTGCCCTGTTTACACTGCTCGCCAACTGAAGACATGAGCTATTCCCTGGATTCCCTGACTTAAGCATCTTGTCTTAGGTCTGCAACCTCATCCAAGCATGAGTTTCTGTCATTATTCCTATATTGTTTTTCCTTGTCTCAGACATGGAGTTTCCACA